TGGAGAGCAAATGTTTTGAGAATGATGAGGGCAATGAATGTACAAATATGCTTATACAATTGATATATGTAGGGATTGTGATAAGAGTTTATGAGCCCCTAAAAATATATGATTAAAATAAATAAATAAATCCGGCATGAAAAAAAACTTGCATTTTTCAAAATTTCTTATTTAGTTGTAAAACTGAAAAACCTTAAAAACCAAGAAAGATCTTGTGTTTCCCACTCCTATTAAAATGTGAGAAATAGGAGGATGGAGGGGAAAAAGAGGACCTTATACCAAGGACTCAAGTAGAAAATGTTTGGAAATGATGATGGCAACATATATACAAATATGCTTGATACAATTGATATATTAATATTGTAAGAGGTATAAAAGCCCTCAATAAAATGAATTTAAAAACAAAAAAAAACCCTTTTCTTTACTCCTGCCCCCCCCCCAAAAAAAAAGTCAGAAATAGCTCATGGGAAAAAGTATGGGGATAAAATTTGTAAATTTATTTATTGAATGACAGTTTCCAAACAAATTTCTGAAATAGGTAATGACCAATTCCAGCAGCTTATTACCTAGCTTACAAGCAGCCCAAAGTTTGCAATTCATTTAGATGAAACAACTGTGATTTCTAACATGGCACCGTTGTTACTTTATGTAAGGTGTGTTTATGAAGGATGTGTACACGAGGAATTACTGTTTTTGTGACCCTTTGTAAGGACACACAAGAGGGGAAGATATATATCTTAATGTCGGTGAATGTTTCCCACCTGAAAGCTTACATTGGGAAATGGTGTTGGAGTCTGTGCAGACGGTGAGCAGTCATGGGTGAGAATGTTGGATTTGTAGCAGAAATTGAAGCTGGTGGCAATGAACATATCACTTTCAGTCATTGCATGCTCTGTCAGGAGGCACTTGTAGCCACAAGAAAATCACCAGAGTTAGATGTCGTGCTTCCTGATGTTATCAAAACCGTGAATATCATTAGAAGCCACACCCTTAAGGGTCATTTGTTCTCAAATCTTTACAAGGAGATGGACTCTGATTCCAAAAGCTTATTACTACATGAGGAATGAAGGTGGTTCTCAAGAGGGTGAAGTTTAAACAGATTATTGAAACAGAAAGATGAAGTTGTTATATTTTTTACTGAGCAGAATTCTAATTGTGTTAACTTTTATACTGACATATGGCTTTCAAAACTGTATTGTCATATTTTTAAAAACCTCATTAATTTAAACATCTCACTTCAAGGAAAAAATTGTAATATATTTATGTGAAAAGACAAAAGTTTTACTAAAAAATTAACATATAGAACTAAATGTTCACAGTGACAGATGATTTTATAATTGAAAGCAACCTTGCCAAAGATTTAATTGTAAGAGTTATCATTGATTATCTGAGCTGCCTGGAGACATAATTTCAGAAATATTTTCCTTTAAAATTTGACTCGAAAAAAGTAAGTTGGGTTCATAAACCATACTCAATTGAAATAAAAAACCTTCAGTCATCAGCCACGAAGAGTTGAAGATCTAAAGAGGAGGCTCTCACGGAGCGGCTAGTAGGTTTGTATCAATGATCTGGCAGTTAATAGCACAATGCCTAACCCACAGGGCCACCTATACTCCCTTTCTTAGTCAAAAAATAGTACAAAAATGATTGTTTATTATATTAAAGTTTAAGAATAATGTGCCAGTTATTTAACTACATAGGTTTAAAACTTGAGTTTCCTAAAACTTCGTTAAGTGAATTTTACCTTGAAATTAGGACAGAATTTCCAAAAATTTCTGATATGGCCCTAACTTTAATTCTGCCTTTTAGTACTATGTATTTTTATGAAGCAGCATACTCAACATTAACAATTGCAAAATAGAAATACTGATCAGCTCTGAAAAACATTGAAGATGCTCTATTTTCTGCAGGTTCAAATAATCTGCCAGGAATTATTCATGTAAAGATACACAAGCACATCCTCAAAGTTGCTGTAGTCTTTAATACACGGTAAAATTAAATGTATACCAAATGACTACTTTAAAATAAATTTATTTATGAATTATTATCAGTAAATGTTTGATGTATATATCTATTTTATATACTTATATACCTAGGGTTGTGTGAAAAGTTCTTGGGTAAAACGGAGTCACAAGTAGAAAAAGTAGCCTTGCTCTAGAGAACCCAGCCTAACACAACCAATAATATGGCCAAATTTTTTCCCTGTGGGTTTTCTTCTTACTCTTTTGATATAGACTTTCATTTATTTTTAGTCTTCTCATGAGTATCGGAGGCCCTGGTCATCCATTTCTCTTCCCAACACCATTTATTTATTTATTTATTTTGCTGCTTTATTTATTTATTTATTTATTTTTAATTAATCAATTTATTGGGGCTCATACAATTTATCACAATACATAGATCAATTGTGTAAAGCACATCTATACATTTGTTGCCCTCATCAGTCCCAAAATTCTCTTGCCTCCTGGGTTCCCGGAATCCGCTCATCTTCCTTCCCCCCCACCTTCCCTTCCCCCTCCCCTTTCCCCCATCCAACACCATTTATTAAAAAGACTCTTTCCCCATTGCATGAACCTACCACACTTGTGAAAAAAATAAAAATGAGTTAGCCTTAGATGTGTGGGGTTATTGCTAGACTCTCAATTCTGCTCCATTCTCTATGTGTCTATTGTGAGGCCAGTCCTAGGGTGTTGTGATTACTGTAGCTGTGTCAACCCAAATCCAAACTCGCTGCTATCAAGTAGACCCGTCCCATAACGACCCTACAGCACAGCATAAAACTGCCTTTGTGGGTTTCTGAGACTGGAACTCATTTTCCTTATTTTGGAGGAAAGGAAAGTATCCCTGTCTCTTTACTGGAGGCTTTGATTCCTGGCGGGGTCCTTGTTGGCTACGTGTGGAGGAAGAGGAGATAGTTCTGGAACCCTCTGGATCAGTGGTTCTCAACCTTCTTGCCACCTG